TTAACAATTTAACATGTTTACCTTAACTAAATGTGAAGATCAATGTGAGATTATAGACAAGAGTTTAAAAACTTTATTTACATATAAACAAAACGAGGTTTAATAGTAAGATGAAATTCAAATAATTACGTTTTAAAGACTGCTGTAAAAGATTTTGTGCTAAATCATTTTTATTTTCAAATATTATCAAAAATCAATTTTTATTTAAGTATTAATTAATTCATATATATTTTTAAAAATAATTGAGCTACCAGTCTAAATTTATTAATTTATTAGATAAAATCAATAGCCTTTTAAAAAAGATTTGATTCAGGTTGGGATGGAATGAAGAGGAAAAATAAAGTACGGTATTGTTATTATTTATTTGAATTAGTTTTCAACTAATTAAAAATTATATCTATCTTTAATAAAGATTAATGAAAATTTTTATAATCAATTTAAAATTATTTATTTAATTTTTAAAAGCTTTATTGAGAACTAATTTTCAAAAAGCTTTAGATTTATAGTAAATTATTTATAAAACTTTATAGTTTAGATATGTAAAAAAAATTTTAATACACCTTATAAATTCTTACAAATTATTTCATAAATTTACAAAAATATGTCTGATATAATTATTTAATTCAAATATGGCTATGATTAAATAATATAATCTTCAATCAAATCATATAAGGATTAGTTTTTTCACTAATCTCTTTATTTTGCAATATTCTTTTCTTAGTTACAGCTTTTGTGCTTTATCTATATCCTTAGAGCTTTTTTAAAAAAAGAATTATATTTCATGACAAAGATTAGTTTAAAGAAGCATAAATAATTTAAAATAAAATTTATGTTTAATAATTATGTTAATAGATAATTTATTTATTTATTTGTTTGCTTTATATAGTAAAAATTATAAAAAAGAACAAAATTTTATTACATTAGCTCAATTATAAATGTTGATAGTCTAGCACAACTGTTTAATTGAAGAGCTAAATATGATGCACAAGAATAGCTAATTTTATTGCGGCTTCAGCATATTAATAATAATATGAAAATTAATTTAAATAAAAAAATGTAAAAATTAAAAAGTAAAATAGTAGAAAATCAGTCAATTAATGTCAATTAATTAATTGATAAGCATGCATATTTCAAATAAATATTGAAGAAAGAGTTCGAACTTATTTTAATTATATATTAAGATCACATAAGGCATACATTAGATATAGATTAATAAATAAAATAACTATTTATTTATTTTACCTTAGCTCTAGTCTCAAAATTGTGAGATGAGTACAATTTGTTAAAGCTAAACCTAAACCTTAAACACCTTCATCACAAATAGAATTTAGTCTTTAAAAATATTAAAATTAAACTAAACTAAAGAAGTCATTTTAAAAATTTTAATTTGATTAGAAAATATTGTTTTTTTTAAATATAATATTTAAATAATTAAAAAATGTGTTTGAAATTTATGTTATTTATATTGTAATAGATAGACCAAGTAGTTTAAAAAAAAAAAAATAGAATGCTGAATAATTCAAAAATTTAACAAAAAATTTAATGATTTATATTTTAAAGAATTAAAAATTTTTATATTTTATATATTCACTATTAAATTGATTTATTTGTTTAATTACAATTTAATTATTAAGATAAATCTCAAAAATTTATAAATTTATATTAAATGGTTTTTTACTTTCATTGAATGATGTATGATAAAATTGTTTAAAAAAATAAATAAATAAAGTATTTTTACATAAAACTGAGAGTCAGTTTTGAAATATTAGTGCATTTTTTTAATCCAGAAGCTAAATCTAATATGCCTTAAGATCCAATTTAATTCTACCTAAATATATTTTTTTAATAAATATGCAAATTAAATTTTTTAAAAAATAATAAGTAATTTAAATTGTAAAAAGTAATAATAAAAAAAATAAATAAATAAATAAAAAATTATTGTTTTTCATTCTTGATTTTCTTGAAAATAACTTGAAGCTAATCAAACATTCATTTTTACTTAAAATAGAGAAGCAAAGTTGAAAGATTGGAACAATTTTCTAAAGCAAGAGCTAAACTTGATAAACCGCTGTTTCCAATTTTATTATATCTATTCATAAAATTATTTAAAATTTTTTAACAAATATTTAAAAAAAATACTTAATAAAAACAAGAATCCTAATTTTATTTAATAATATTTGTATATATTTATTTACCTTAAGTCTAGAAATAAATGTGAGAGAATATTTGCCTTTTTAAAAGCAAAACTTAATCCTTCCATGCTTTTATCTCCAATTTTCTGATGACTATTAAAAAATTATTTATTGATTTTTATTTAAAATCAAATTAAAATATTTATATCAAAAAAAATACAAAATAAATAAATAAATATCTCTCTCAAATTTATCAAATTTAATAAAAATAGAAAATATTTTACCTAAGTTCAAGAGATAAGCTAGATAAATTGGTTAAATTTTATAAAGTAAAACCTAAGCTTGATGTACTTTCTTCTTCAATTTAATTAAATCTTAAATAATGTTAATATAAATATTAAAAAAGTAGAAAAAATATTTCAAATAAAAAGAAATGTGAATATTAATTTAAAAAATGAAAATATCTTTACTGTAAATTAAGTTTCAAAGTTGAGAGATTATTAAATTTTGATAGATTTTAGCTAAGATTTTAAAGTCCAAATGATGCAATACTACTTTCACTTAAATTAAAAGTGTTTAGTAAATAAATTAATAGTCTTTAAATAATCATTATCAATCAATAAATATCTCAAAATAAATTAATATTTTTACCAACAATTCAGTTATAAGCTAGACAGATTCTTATTGCTTTCTAAACTAGAAGTTATGCACTCTATACCATTTTAGCCAACATCACAATAACTTTTATTTAATTTATAAGAAATATATTTACAAATAAAATAATAAAGTACAAGTGATTAAGCAAAAAAAATATTAATTCAAAATAGATGATTAAATTTTATAGAGCAGCTAATTAATTCATTCTAATTTAGCAGATCAAAAGCTATTCTTTTTGATTTTTGATTTTATTTTTTGGAAAAAATTAAACAAGCATTCTTTAAAAATATTTCCACAAATATAAAAAAATTAATTCGTTTACAAAAATTTTGAAACTAGCTTAAAATGTTTCTATTATTTTACTTCAAAAATTTTAAAATAAATAATCATCTTAATTTTGCTTATTTTTAAATTTTACCAATTAAAAAAAAGCCAAACAAACAAGAGATGTTTATTTATTTTTGCAATTAATTTTTTTTCTCTAGAGCATATTTAAATTCATTTTTATTATTTAAAATAATTTCCTTTTTCTTTTGTTTTTATAATGCTAAACTTACAAAAATAATTTTCAAGCCAGTATAAATTTTGGTGATAATTAATGAAAATTAACAGTAGTATATTTTATTTAAAAACTATTGTTTTAAAAAATCTAGGAAGATTCAAATTGTTGAATGTTCTGTCTGATTAAACTTTGCTATCAATCAAAATTTTATTTTTTATTATATTATCAGAGGATCAGCTTAAATTAGAAGAATTATGGTTTAATTAAATAAATAAGAAAAAGGAATATAAGATTATTACCTGAAAACTAATTCTAAAGTTTTGATATTAACAACTTGTTTCAAAGCTGAACTTAAGATTTTTGCACCTTCTATTCCAATAATATGATTGCTATTAATATTAACAAATTAAAATGTTTATTTAGTTAAATATTAATAAAAAAAGTTATAATAAGTCATTACAAATAGTAAAAAAAGATATTTCGAATATTAGCAGTTAAATAAAAATGCTAAATGAACCAATTAAAATAAATAAATAAATATTTTTTTTACCTAAGATCAAGTGATAAGGATGATATTTTTTTACAATTTGTTAATATTTAGCTTAACTCTAATATGCCATCTTATCCAATTTAGTATCCACTTTTTGTAAATAGAAATAAAACTTATAAATAACATAAAGTAACTATTTAAAATGAAAAAAAAAAATAAATACATACATACATAAATACAATTTAGGAATAATAAAATTGAATAAATATATTTTAATTACTCAAGAATTAGCTATAAATCTTGTATTTCAGTGCAGTTAGATAGATTTAAACCTAATTTTTTTGTTTGTTTCAGAGCAAATAAATTAAAACTATTATTTTGATTAGTTATATTAAGTCTTAAAAATTAATTGATTCATTATTTTATCAATTTGGCAAAAAGAAGAATTTGAAAAATATGTTAGAATAATGAAATTTTATAAATTAAATCTGGATAGAAATTATCATCAAAGCAATTAATTTTTACACTATACTTAGCACTAGAGTAGACAATTTAATGCAGTTTGATATAGCTTTACCTAAAATAGAAGTTCCCTCTTCAGAAATATTGTTATGACTTTTAAGTATTAATAATTATTTATTTGCAAAAAAAACAGTAGTAAGTAGAATGTAAGAATGGTTTTAAAAAGCCATATATTTTCATACTAATTTCAAGTTAAATTTATAATTAATCATATTTATAATAATGAATAAAAACTAATACTCATATATAAATAAAAGGCAACTAACTTAATTTCTTAATCATAAAAATTATATTATAATGATAAAAATTTTTATTGTTAAAAAAGATAGATAGATAGATAGATAGATAGATAGATAGATAGATAGATAGATAGATAGATAGATAAATATAAATTAGAAACCAAATAAAACAAATAAATGAAATAATCTTTTACTTTAAAAAAAGTTTCAAAGTTGTTAGATTGACTTATTTCTCTAAAGCAGAAGCTAAACTTTAAACACCTAATATTCCAAAAGCGTTCTAACTTTTTATTTTTATTGTAAAAATTAGTTGAAGAATATTTTTTTAAAAAATCAATAATCTTAAATAATTCAAATGATAAAAAATTTGATTTGCTAGTTTTAATAATTCATAATTCATTAAAAAGGTTCTTTAATAAAAATGAAATTTTACTTTAGGCTGAGATTCAAAACCGAGAGTTTAGTGAATTATAATAGAGCTAAACATAGGCTTGATACAGATTGGTCATTTAATTGATCACTATTTTTGAAATTAGAGATAGATTTAAATAATTATTAAAAAAATTGAAGAAGTTAAATAAAAAGAAAGAATAAATTAAATAAAAAAAGATAAATAGATTCATAATAATTAAAATAATTAATTAATTAAGTTATCAGATACAAATTTATTTATTTATGTATTTTAGAATTTTTTAATTACAAAAAAAATAACTATAAAACTAAAATAAATTTTGGATATTTGTTTACCTGATTTCAAGACTCAAAGTTTAGAGATTAATGCATTTAGCTAAACCAGAACTTAAATTTTACATGCTCTCAGAGCTAATTTCATTTTTGCTTTTAATTTTAAAATGTTTAAAAAGACAAAAAAAGACTAAAAAAGAAGTTAAAAATAAATAAATAAATAAATAAATAAATAAATAAAATGAAGAAGAAATGAATTATTCTTTTATTAAATTTAAAATATTTTTCCATAATAAAAAATAAAATAAATAAGGAATAAAATAATTAAAATAATAAGCTTATTTCTAAAATAAATTCAAAATTCAGCTAAATTTTTATTTAAAATAAATAATTAATCATAGATATTTTATATTTGTTTACTTCATTTCTAGTTGCAAAGATTAGATATTAATGCATTTAGATAAGGCAGAACTGAAATTTTATATTCCTTCATTATTCATTTATTAATTATTACTATTTATAAGATTTAAAAGTTTTTAAATATTTATTATTTATTTATTGACTAAGATCTTGTAATTAATTTTGTTAACAATTTAATATTTTTACCTTAATTAAATGTGAAGATTAGTGTGAGACTATAGGCAAGAGTTTAAAAACTTTATTTGCATTAAAACAGAAAGTTGTTGAATAGTAATATGATATTTAAATAATTACGTTTTAAAGACTGTTGTAAAAAATTTTGTGCTAAATCATTTTTTATTTTCAAATATTTTCAAAAATAAATTTTTATTTAAGTATTAATTAATTCTTATATATATTTAAAAAGAATTTAGCTAACATTTTAAATTTATTAATTTATTAGATATAATCAATAGTGTTAAAAATTAAAAATTTGTTGTGTTTCCAACATTTTGAAAAGTATTATTTTAAAGCTAGTTTTAAGGTAAATAATGATAAATTAAAGATATTCTATTTTTTAGATGAATTTATTAATTATAAATAAGTAAAATAATTAAAAAGTTATTAATTTTTTTTTTTTATTAAAGTATAATTATGCCTCATTATTCACTATATTTCGATAACAAATCTAAAATTTCACAATTCGTCTTTCAGTCTTTTAAAAAAGATTAAAAGTTGGGATGGGATGGAGAGGAATAATAAATAAAGTTCATTATTGCTATGAATTTAATTTTCAACTAATTAATAATTATTTCTATCATTAAAAAAGAAAGAGTAAAGAAATTTTTATAATCAATTTTAAATTATTTATTTAATTTTAAAAGATTGACTAAGAACTAATTTTCAAAAAGCTTTATATTTATTGTAAATTATTTATAAAAATTTATAGTTTAAATATGTAAAAAGAATTTTAATACATCTTATAAATATTTATGAATTATTCTATAAATATACAAAATTGATCTGATATATTTAGTTAACTCAAATAAGGCTATGATTTAATAAAATAATCTTCAATCAAATCATATAAGGATCATTTTTTTCACTAATCTCTTGATTTTGCAATATTCTTTTCTTAGTTACAAATTTTATTCTTTATCAATATTCCTATCGCTTTTTTAAAAAAGAATTTTTATTTCATAACAAAAATTAATTTAAAAAAACATAAATAATATAAAATAAAAAGTTATGTTTAATAATTATGTTAAGATAATTTAACAAAAAATAAAATTTTATTTATTTTGTTTCTTTGTTTGTTTGTTTGCTTTATATAGTAAAAATTTTTAATTTTATTACACTAGCTCAAATATAAATGTTGATAGTCTAGCACAACTGTTTAATTGAAGAGCTAATTATGATGCAGAAGCATAGCTAATTTTGTTGCAACTTTATTTAAGACATTAATTATAAATGTAAAAATTAATTTAAATAAGAAAATGTTTTACCTTAGCTCTAGTCTCAAAATTGTGAGAGAAATACAATTCGTCAAAGCTAAACCTAAACCTTAAACTCCTTCATCACAAATAGAATTTAATCTTTAAAATTATTAAAATTAATCTAAACTAAATAAATCATATTAAGAAATTTTAATTTGATTAGAAAATAGTGTTCTTTTAAATATAATTTTTTATAAGTTAAAAATTTTTTAATTTATTCGAAATTTATATTATTTATATTAGTAATAGATAGATCAAGTAGTTTGTTTTTTTAAAAAAAATAGAATGCTAAGTAATTCTATAATTTTTAAGATGAATCTCAAAATTTTATAAATTTTGTTTGTTTGTTTGTTTACATTCATTCAATAATATATCAGAAAATTATTTTAATAAATAAATTAATAAAGTATTTATACATAAAACTGAGAGTCAGCTTTGAAATTTTAGTGCATTTTTTTAATCCCTAAGATAAATCTAATATGCCTTA